CTGTAACACTATATATGCTCTATATTATATAATAAAATAGTCATCATCAACTCATAATTACAAAAAACCCCCAAACTTTTATTTTCTTTTTAAAAACAACGGAAAATCATCCATGACTGAAACAGTTTTTCAACTTTGAATTCATGTTTATTATTAAATATTCTCTGTTTGGTTATGTCTCTTTGGGTTTGTGGTTTTGAATTCTTAGCAAGCGGTTCAGATTTTCATTATTTCTCTGGAAATTATTTGCCTTTTTTAAAAATACAGTTTTAGGTTTCAGTCAGAGTCAGTTTGCATGTCCCAGCTTTCTGCTAAATTATTTTATCCCCCCCCCCCGTGATTTTTAGACCTGCATGCCGAAACAGTCTGCAGTGCAAACAAGCATAAAATCAGAAACTGATTGCAATGACATGGTCCTGGGTCTGTTTTCCAGTTTAGTTTATCTAAGTATTATAAATTCCTGGCTTGCCTAATGTTTATGTTGACTCTTGTATTTGTCCCTCTTACTCAATGTAGTTACCCTCTTAGCAGATGCCTTGGTTTTATTCCCCCCTTTGTCTCAAGCCCGGTGCACTTAGTCTTTTCATGTGACTGTTTTCCCCCCTTCAGTTATCTCACTTCCTGTTTTATTTTGGTAAGTCTGCTATCTATCCCTTTGTCCTTTGTCAGTTCACTTTCTCCAGCTCCAGTGCTCTCTTTCCATAGTGTTTATTCTCCGATTTCTGTAAGTAGAGGTTTTCAGTTCCCTTTTGTATTTTGTGTTTCACCTTTTTTGTATTTTGGTCATCAGCCTAAATAAACGGCTTGTTTGTTTCACTCAGTCTATCTGTGAGATTACATTTTGGCCCTCCACTAAATACCTATGACATGTGATCCTGTATTTGCTTGTGTTACACAATTCAGACTGCTACAGCATGAATAGGTGTTCTGACTTTGATTAAACCATCAGACATGGTGCAGCAGCACCAGGATCACAACTCCACAGTATCTGACTTGTCATGTACCGCTGCTGGTTTACACTGCCCCCTATTGGTGAATGGTGTGAAGGGTAGAGGAGAAAAAAAACTCACTACAAACAAAAGTGTCAAATCTCACAGTTTTTTTGTTTTGTTTTGTTTTTTTCAGTTTTATATGTTAGGTTTTTTTTACCCCACAATATTAAATGCCTTGAGGCAACGGTGATTTGGCTCTGTATAAATTAAATTTATGTCATTCAATTTTAAATGCCACTGGAACAATATGGTGGATACCCATGCCAACATAACATAAGGAAATTTCTTACAAGCTGGAGGTCTTCAGAGAAAAGAAAATACATGACCTTAGATATGAAGTTTGGTAACTGGGAAAAATACATTACTGAGAACAAAATACTGAGAACAAAATATTAAGTAGCTGTATGGTAAAAAAAGGGCAACTTTTATTCGTAAATAAATGTACACACTTTTAATTATATCTTTTCAATGTTTCTGACAAGACAATCTCAGGGTGGGCATTTGTCATCTCAACAATAAAACACGAAAAAATCATTCCACAACACATAGACTTAAGACTAAGATTAAACTGAAGATTTTAATATAATAAAGACATATCTAAAATTTGTATCAACTGTGACATTTTTCTAAAATAACATGCTATTTCAGATAATTTGAGAGACAAGCTGACACTGGAACATTTGATTATTTATTCTTTGAAACTGAAAAACCATATTGGCCACAAGCACTGTTTCCTGACAAGATGGAGATTTAAAACAAATACTTATCCTTATATCCGTCTTCCTTTTCTGGAAAACAGTCTTTTATCTCCAGTACCACCACCTCCTCCTCTTTCACCTTATTCTCCACCATCATCTCCACCTTCTTCTCGTACTACTTTCTTAATTTGAGCATCATTTATCGCTTTCCTCCTTAGTGCTTCCCTGGCACTATTTCTTTTCAAAGGGATAAATTAGTGTCAGCATACTCCACTTCTTTTGGTCCACTGTTTAAGATCAGAGTCAGATTTTCTTCTAATAGGGAACCATCATATACCTGTTAGATAGAAAGTAAATAATATTAGTTGTTCATTTCTATCTGGTATCTTTACATTCTTTTGTTATTAAATTGTTGTGACTTTTTTTGGCCTGATAATCAACTTGATGCAACGTCAAATCTTGAATTACTGTCATGCTTTGCAGTTTTTGTGTTTGTTGTTTTTGATCATGGCTGTTAAAGATGCATGTTTGCTCATTTATAGGTTCATGATTAGATTTTGGTTCACCAGAATAAGTCTGCAGGTTTCAGTGTTATAAAGCATCTCTTTTCCTGCTTAGTCTGCAAGTCCAGTCTGCTATGATT